GATCGTAAGGCGAGAGAGACGTGATTGGCGCACGAGCGAGGCCAAGTTCCATCGCTCGCCACTATGACTCAATCAGTCGCTTGGGTGCGGCCGGCAGCAATGCATTTATAAACGGGACACGTCATTGTGGCCCTTGTAAGTGGCTTTGGCGTTGGAAAAACGGTTGCACATGTCTCATGACCAGCGGCGGAATGGTGCTGCGGATTGGAGGATGGCCAAATATGTATACACATCGCGCTCGGCAACGCGTACGTTGCTGCTTCACCGCACACCCGTACTATATTATTGACGGTGTTTCACCGTGCCTCATAACCAAAAGGAACGCTCTTCGTACCACTAAACTTCACGCATACGCGTCGCGCTGGCGAAAAGTGGCGGCACGTAGAACGCATCGCAACAGGAACTCGGGACTGACGGATTTGCATATCATAAATACCTGATTCGCCGGCCATTCATTTTTCTCGTGCGACTACAGATGGAGCTGTGCCTTATATTTGTGCAGGGACCTTGGAATGACGAGTGAGGAAGCGTTAAATGATTATTCGTTATTTCAATATAATCCTGACGATATTAGGGAATGCTTCATGTGGATGCGCGCTGTTGGTTTAGTTTGTTGCATGTGCTTGGTGAAAGTAATTACATGGTTAGGGAACGTGGAGTAATCGGTTTCAATCGAATTATTATCTATATGTGTCTTCCGATGTGAAAACCTGGGCCGTCCTGTGAGTCGGAGGGAAAAAAGCGTGTTGATTTTTGGTATTCGTATACGATTGGTTGAATATGTTTGTGTGAATCTTGTTGAGATCTTGAATAAATCGAATAAGTGAAAGCAACAGTTGGAGCATGGAAACTAACTAACTTTCATGTGATTATTCTGATTACACGTATTAACGGAGTATCTTCAACTTGGAGAACGCTCTATTTTGAAAATTGTTAACCTTGTTCAGCGGTAGACTGATTTTCATGGATTTTGATGGAATAGAATAATGGATACTATGTCTGGAAGAAACAGCCGTAAAAATATTTCTGTTTGGAGTGCTTATTCTGCGATCACTACAAATCGTGTGCCTATGGTTCCAATAGTTTAGTCTTCCTATGTTGTACGTAATTAGATGGCATATAGAAAGGGAAACCTTTCGAAGATCTTTTGAAACTCAGATAAGGTGTTTGGGAAATACCTTTACATTTTTTCAAATTTGGGTTTGATCATGTGATTTACCGGTTTGACAAATTGGTAACAAAATATTAATTCTACAATAGTTAGTAATTAGAACTGAGGGCAGAAAAATTTCTTATAACATTAGAAAGACTATTAACAACAAATGTGTACGGTAAACTTCATTCGATGTCACAGAGGCGAAAAATATGCCAAACAATGCTAGCACCACGTAGTGTCAAACAGTTTCTCATCCAGCGAGTCATACATGATTCTTCAAAAGGTCTTTGAATTTTACAGAGATGCACACAAATTACAATACATGACAACAAATTAGACGCTGTATTTAAAATCCGAAGCAATTTTACAATTTTCCGTCATATTCCCGCAATCAGTCCATAGATTTATGCACAAAATGAAATAAAAGGACGGAAAGAAATATCTATCACGCGGACAGTAATAAAGAAAGATGCGCATGCGTTTCTTTGAAATACTAATCCCGGAATATCGCTTTTGGTCGCAAGGAAAGCCTTTCAAGCGTCAACAAATATTCCATTGCTGGAAAATCCATTTCGCATAACGTATCTTGAAGGTATGCAAATCACGAATGCATGCGAATCTTTCAGGCTTATTCATAGTCATCCAACTGCATATAATTCATGGCAATGTGTCCATGATTTCGATTAGTTTATTTGCGTCGGATATCTGATAATTTGAAAATATCATTCATCAAAACTCTCCCGAAGTGGATTACAGTTCACGCTGCAGTTTGAACGAACAACGGTAATCCTCGGATAAGCAATCAGTTCACCCTCGCTAAGGTTCCGCGGTGTATTTCTTGGCACATCGCTTCTACGCAAGATTAGGAGTAATTAGAAGAATAAGGGACAATTTTAAACGTTACATAGGATATAAAAATATAAACCTTTAATCGCTATTTTTAATAAAATAAAATTGGTTTCTAGGTACAAATGACCGAAGTTAGAATTACTTATTTTCAATTACTGTATTGTTCCGTTGGAAGTTTCTTTTGTAGCAAAAGGCTTACATTATGTTCCTTTGAACTAAATAATGTTAGGGCAAATTTAGCAGTTGAATATAAGAATACGAATCTTCACGCTTTTACGTTATTCCTATAGTAAAGGTTGTGCAAATATTCTCTGCCATTAAAAGGATTTTACTATCGTAGAATGTTCCTCCTCGAAGAATCGAATTTGAAGACGTGATACCATACAATTTAACACATGTTATTCCAATTTATTATATTCTTCATCGGTATACATTTTGCATGATCCCTGAGGAAGTATTTTATGGGCTGAACGTAAACATCGAGATATGTATGGTAGAGAAGTAGCAATCATGCGGGTAAAGTAAGCAGGGCAGAAGAAGGTTGTGTGTAAGTGTACAATGGAAGACAAGTTGAGAAATTAAATAACTTTGTTACTGGCTAGAGGGATTTATTAATGTACTTTCTCATTGAAATGTATTATTCGCGGTATCGTACCGGACATAACGGCTCTTGGGCTGTATCGTCGTCTGATTTTGTATTTTAATGCGTGCATTGACGAGTTGACGCCGGCGCCCGAATACAAGGTCTGCTCCGAGGGGCAGCAGCAGAAATCACTGCTTGCTCCGTGGGGAAGCGCCAGTGCCAGATTATTCTAATCAACATAACACCCTGGCGGCAATACCGTATAGGTGAAGCATATAGATCTCGACGAGATATAAACGAATTTGAAATTAGTTTTTGGTCGTCACTCTCAGTTTTTGAGAAAATAGGATATGAAGAAAGATCGTAATTTGCAAACTTCACATTAATTTATAACAAAACGACAGATGCTCTGCGATACCGGATGAGTTCCACGAATTCCGTGCACTTTATTTAATATGTTCATATACAAGCGTTTGACAGTATCAATTTGCATATACTCGAAGATGTCATGTAGAACTGATGGGGCGAGTTTTATGACTAATTTTAGAACACTGTTTTCAATTTTTCTCAAAAAGTAGAGGCCTGAGGTGAATTATGACCGTCGCACGTTATTCTGTGAACATTTTTCCGTAAGAAACGATTATAACGCGCGACAAAAGATTTTACAATCTTCTTTTTGTACGAAAAAGGTATAGCCATGCACGTTTGTCGGAGAACCACCGCGCACATAAGGATCCTGCACGGCGTAAACCGTGTTAGGACGTAGTGCAAGCTTCAGTTATAATTTATGTCGAGCGCGAACGGAAATTTCGTCGAACCCCGACTGAAGATTTCCGGGCCATAGCACTTGAGGCACGATTAACGTGCTGCATGAAAGAAACCTCTATGAAGCGAGTTGATAGGACTCCGAACTAGAGTCTTGTTTCCAAAAGTTTGATCGCTGAAGGAAGATTTACTGCTGGGCTAAGTGGCCGAGGACTCTCAGACTTAGACTATATCATCGTCTGATTATGTATTTTAGTGCGTGCATTAACGCGTTGACGCCGGCTGCCGAATCCAAGGCCTGCTCCGAGGGCGGCAGCAAAAATCACTGCCTGCTCCGTGGGGAAGCGCAGCGCCAGATTATACTAATCAACATAACACCCTGGCGGCAATACTGACTAGGTGAAGCATATAGATCTCGACGAGATATAAACGAATTTGAAATTAGTTTTTGGTCGTCACTCTCAGTTTTTGAGAAAATAGGATATGAAGAAGGATCGTAATTTGCAAACTTCACTTTAATTTATAACAAAACGACAGATGCTCTGCGATACCGAATGGGTTCCACGAATTCTGTGCACTTTATTTAATATGTTCAAATGCAAGCGTTTGACTGTATCAATTTGCATATACCCGAAGATGTCATGTAGAACTGATGGGGCGAGTTTTATGACTAATTTTAGAACACTCTTTTAAATTTTTCTCAAAAAGTAGAGGCCTGAGGTGAATTATGACCGTCGCACGATATTCTGTGAACATTATGCCGTAAGAAACGACTATAACGCGCGTCAAAATATTTTACAATCTTTTTTTCGTGCGAAAAAGGGATAGCCATGCACGTTTGTCGGAGAGCCACCGCACACGTAAGGATCCTGTACGGCGTAAACTGTGTGAGCACGTAGTGCTAGCTTCAGTTATAATTTATGTCGAGAGCGAACGGAAATTTCGTCGAACCCCGACTGAAGATTTCCGGGCAATAGCACTTGAGGCACGATTAACGTGTTGCATGGAAGAAACCTCTATGGAGCGAGTTGATAGGACTCCGAACTAGAGTCTTGTTTCCAAAAAAGTTTGATCGCCGAAGGAAGATTTACTGCCGGCCTATTTCGCCGAGGACTCTCAGAAGATTTTCCAGTAGTAGGCTTCCCTTCCTTTTATCGATCGCGTGACTCTGTGAGCGCGAACTATTACCTGCCTCCGGACTTTAGGCGTTACACTTAGACGTTCGGGCCCGCCCATGTATTATGAGTTAAGCCAGGGGCATTCGGGAGACCGAATACTCCAGAGTCGTCAATTTTGAATATAAAGTGGGATCCAGTAATTGGGGATGATCATTGAGAATTTCGACTATAAAGCGAGGTTTACTCCGAGCTTAGATTTGACAGCAATTGAAGAAGAGCGTAGTTAGTATGCATTGCATGTATTGTGGGTTGTGCATTGACTGTATGAGGTGCGTGGTCATTAGGGTCCTGACATAAATGATTTCCTGTGCACACATTCCTTCCGGTAAGTGTAACTGGAGATAAAATTTACCTTTCTCCTTGAAAGGCTGTTAACATTTCTCTGTTATAGTTTCTGTACATCTAATAAATAAATGAATCCGTGTAGATGGAAGTCTGTCATTCGTCTGATGAATCAATCATTGGAATCATGGGAAATATACAATGGTCGCAAATACTCTCAGCCTCTGAAGACGCGGCAAGCAATGACGAGGGAGCGTTAGCTAGCGAACTGTACGAAAATACCTCGAAGGAAGAAGATTTCGACTCGGATTTAGATGAGGAGGGTGCTGATGACGAGTGGCATGGAATAAACGAAGGAGGTGTAGCCACGAATGTATGTTGGGAGGAAGAAGAGTTGATAATTGATGACATGGGCAGCGACGATCCTGTTAACTTGAGTAAGTTGTTCGTCACAGGCTACATATTAGCAACGATCATTTAGGAAACGAATAAATATGCTACACAATGCATGAGCAACTCTGTATCCAGCAGCAGAAGACAACAACAGGCCCGGATGCCTGTTACAGAAGAGGAAATGAACACCTTTATTGGTATCCTGCTTATCATGGTTTTAGTGCGCCTACATGAAATTAGATTGCATTTGTCGCAGGCAGACATGTATCCGCACAAACGTATAAAGAGCGCGCTGGAACGCGGTCGTCTTACATGAATATTGAAATATTTACATTTTTTCGACAATTCCGCCACTAGAACTCAGAAACGTTTGTATAAGCATAGAAATATTGCTGATGAAATTGTCCACACAATTAAGAGTAATGTAAAACATGGTAGAAATATTTTGAGCGAAGAAGAAATGTTTCCGCGGACAGGACGCCACAGTATTCGGTAAGATATTCCAGGCAAGTGGAATAATTATGGGATAAAAATTTATGAACTGTGCCTTCCGGAAGAATATAATGACAACATTCATATTTATGCCGGACCCAATGAAACCGCAATAGTGAAAACACATGCGCAAATAGTGATGAGAGTAGTAGGAGAATTATTATTTGAGGGGGGCATATTATTTACTGAAACCTTTTATACGGGTGTCCCTTTAGCCGAGGACCGTTTGCAAAAAGGAAGATTCACATGCGGGACTGCAAAATTGTAGCAAATATCGTGCGTTTTGCATTATAAGTTCGACACCGAAGATGTGCATGTGTATCGTTCATTACTCATTGGAGTCCCTATGCTTGGCAAATAAGATATACTAATAACATCTATTCTCCTATCGATTTACTTCCCCTAATTTATGTCGTACATTTCCTTTACTACATTCAAGAATCACCCCCTTACGGAATTTATTCCTTTAGGTCAAACTTAATCACTGTTAAAGTTTATTTTCTTAAATTATTTAGCTTTTAAGACTCTGCTATCATTTCAAGTAAACCTAAACTAATTATAATTGATATTTGCTAACATATACGTTTGTAATGCTTACAATTTAATCTCGTATTCAGTCTTTATTCGAATATTACATATTGAAAGTTTTGAAAGGTCTACTAATTAGATGGTGATAAATGGAGACGAAAATGTGAGAATTAAAATGGGATTTAGACACTGATCTTTAACAACGCTTTATACCGGAACACGAGTTACGGGTTTTTAGAATGTTATCATATTCTTTCTGTTACAAAGTCTGTTAGAATATTAGAGATACGGAGAATTACATCCGAAACAAGACTGAAGTTGATCCGCGTAAGGTGTAAAAAATTAATGAAGGGGAATGGAGGCATGTTGAAGAGTAGCATATATCAAAGGTATATTTTCGTAATTTTTTTCATTAAACGGATGAAGAAAAGCGACTGAAATTCTACTTTCGCTGAAAGTTCTACATCCTTCTTCTAGAAGTCGAGTGATCTCTATGGAGGACGTGTACTTTGATCATTGTCGGTTGAGTTTATAAATGGTAATTTATCTTCAACAAATATGATAATGAGATAGTTATTTGGGAAATTAAAATTGGATATCTGGTCATTTGCGTATCCTGTAGTAAGAAATTGCAATGAGTATCTAAGGAATAAGGCGGAAAAAGAAAATGTGTTATTAGAGTAAATATGTACCAACGAATCCTGCTTAGTTATTGCTTGTATTATCAGGAATACTAATTTGCGTGACATTCTTGGGTCATAATATATTTTATTTCATACCTCAAATTCATATACGTAACGATGAAATTTAGGAAGTTCTAAGGAAAACTGTATTATTTTAAAACATTATATATGTATGTGCTCCAATTTAATTATACCATCGGATACCTAATAACTTATTCCTCTGATCAAAATTATTCTGACACATAATGAATAGAACTAATAAAAAGTTTTAGCGAAAAATATTAAGGATAATAGGGTTTAGAGCGCAGGTTTAAAGTTTATATGTGAAAATTAAAAATGCGGACAACTTTTCCAGCGAAAAAATGGATTTTTTCTACAGGGTCTTAATTAAATGCGTCATTAAGTACCAGAGCCGTTATTAATTTCCGGAGCTATAATTAGGTTATATGATAAGAAGAGTTTCGAAGCAAAACGTTACTATCATGTAGAACGTGTTGTAAAAATTCACCGTTCCTTTTTGGAATAGGATTCATTTTTCACTAACTTCAGAATCCTTTCAACTGGATCACAATTAATTATCTTAACTAATATTACGCTAAGGCATAATTGCAATTGCAGAAAGTATATCAGAATTTTATTTTGAAAATTAATATTGTATTCGGTTCCTTACGTTTCCTATTTCTGCAGCTTCTTAGTCAACAAGATGTTTTTAATGACATTGTTTGCTAATTAAGATAAAAATGCTCAAACCCAGTCCAGAGAAGTTTTATTATCTTCTGTTTTTACTAAACGTGTTACTAATTGATTCAATGAAAGCCTATTCCATTTGGTTCACCTCGTTCCCTACTATTTATGCCGGAGGAGCAAAGATTCAGATGTTTATTTTATTAAACGTTTTTATTACATTCAACCTAGGTTAACTTTGCCATTATTATAATATAACAACAGGCTCTGCTTTACACCTTCGTAAATATTCATCAACAACTGCAAGAATTATATTTAATCGACTGCCAACGATGTACAAATTCATTGACTCACTTGTTAGTTACTCAAGAACGAAAATTGACTATAGTATACCACAATAATCAGGGTATCAACGTACTACAGATATGCTGGGTACAATACCACACTTGTACTTCTTCAAAATATCACGTGGTGTAAAATGTTCGTTCTCAAACATGATAAAAACATTTTATACTAAATATTGTCCATGATATAAAGAATGTTGCTTCATTATAAATAATGAGAGGCGGAAAAGGATATAAGCAATTCCTTCGCAGGGAAACATATTCTAAATTCAATGCATCACGTATTAATTTCACGTTTTTAAATTTAATTTGGAAATTTAATTTATGTTTTGACCTATCAAATGCGCAGGAAGTTATTAATTAAAAGCAATTTCACTAAATTAATCTAGTTTATAATTCTATTTCTTAAAAAATTCATATCTCTGTACCCACTATGCTTTTTCTTCGTATATTCATTTTTATTTTGTCTCTTACAGTAAAAGACATTAATGAGATGTTAGTAAATTGGATTACAAATTCTATTACACAAAAACATTACAATATTCTCAGTAAACCAATAAGAGGTATCAAATTTAGAAGATTAAGGAAAATTGATATTTCTGGACATTTCTCGTGACATCTTCATACGTGTTGAATAAGCAAACGCGTTCATGCTAACAAGACATTTCACACAGAAGGTACTAAGGTTACGAAACTGAAAAAACAAATAATAGATATTTGCACTAATATTATAATATGCATGGTTTTTACAAAAAACGCAAGACGTGCGCCAGCTATTCTTGAAAGCTTCGTATTTTTTAAACCAACAGATACTTAAGAAGGATCATCATTACCAAATAATATTAATATAAAGAATTATCGGAATACGAAATTATCTATTTCTCAAAACCAAGCTTGACGTGCATTTATATAACCTCATTTATGTAAACATTATATCACAGATTCGTATGAAATAAAATGAAACTTAGCGTTAGAACTACGTAACCCGTTAAAATAACGATTCCTGCTTTCCTACCTTCATAATAATTTAAAAAATACATTCTTTGTAACAAAATTGTTATTGATATTTATTATTGAAGTAAAAGCAGGTCTATTTATACCTACCAATTTCCACCAAATTACTTGATATAATACGTATACATTATTCAGACATACTTTGTAGCTTGAAAGCTCTAATATTGAACAACAGACACACGCACAGATTTCTGCATGCCAATTTTTCGTCTCGGATCCACTGATGAAGCACACTCATCTGAGAATATCTAACGGAAATGAAAAATTATGAGGCACAGTTACCTCGATGAAAGAAATCCCAAGCATTTCCATTAATTTATAAGTAAAGTAATCAATTTCTAAGCACGAGGTACTTATATTCAATGGTTAACTGCCGAATAACTGTAAGAGCTTAACAGAATCGAAGTCAGACAGCGCATATAAGCATTGATTTTCGAATCCCCGACCCTTCAAACGTCCGCCAATCGAAAACGGAAGAATAGATAAGGATCACATTCTATCCCACATTCTACTCCACAATCTCGTTTTATCTGTCCACGTGGAATCGTCCACTGCGACCAGATATCACCTCAATGGCACCACTCCCTGCATACTCGTTTACAATCCTCCGCTCAACCATGAACAAGTTAAGATCGAATTCTCGATACGCCTTATTGCCACTCATTCACTGTTACCGAATCATAAATCTATGTAGAGGAAGCTGTAGGCGAATCGATTAAATCCAGTTTATTGTCCGACGATTTTTGGGCAGATACGGAGTGACTGCAGAATTAGACTCAGCAAGATACAGCGAAGCAATTTTTTGGAAAACATGGAATAAGGCAGAGGTGAGTCCTGTCAGTTACAACAATGGAAATAATAATTAGCACTTTGTACTTTGAAAACGTTTTCGTTTCTTCGATATATAGCGTATTAATTCATATGCCAGCACTGCCAGGTATTTTTGATACAAAAACTTTGTTTCGAAGAAAAAAGGTTAAAGGTATTTACAAATTTCCGTGAAGGGCTGTCATTTTCAGTGTTTTCATTGTTACCGGATACTGAAGATAAAAATAGGCAATAAATTGCGGATCAATGAACTTGTTCTAGAGTTACTAGTGGTGGGCAATATGTTGATCAATTCTTCGTGAGAGAAAGTTGTGAAGAATAATCTTAAGTAATACCGTAGAACTAAAGATACCTATAGCACTATGTAAATATTACGTAAAGGAGGGAATATAATAGGAAAATTGTAGAAGACGAGTAAATATCTCATTTTAAAGATATATGGGAAACTTCGTATGGCTGATGGAACAATAGGATCTATGTAAACAAAAGCAAAATATACGGATTAAATGTGCCATTTTCACTCATATCTTTGAAATGAGACATTTCCGATATTTAAATGCTTATAACGACATACTTTTTTTAAACCTACATTAATATTATAGTACGTATTTACTCTAATTGTATCTGCATATTTAAATTTAGACTTTTACACGTTCTAAGGTATCTTTTATGCGATTCTTCTATACATAAGCTTTTTAATTGGCGAGGTGGATTTACTTGTCTTCCCATGACTTTTCTACACG